AAAAACAACTATTTGAATAAAAATGAAAACCAGCCGGGCATGGTGGTGCACGCCTTTAATCCCACCTTTAATCCCAGCACTCGGGAGGCAGAGGCAGGCGGATCTCTATGAGTTCAAGGCCAGCCTGGTCTACATAGTGAGTTCCGGGACAGCTGGGGCTACAGGGAGACCCTGTCTCAAAAAAGACCAAAAAAAAAAAAAAAATTTAACTTGAAAAAAAAAAAACCAGAATGCTGCTTCACCTGAAGCTACCTTCTGTATCATGGTTAGCTAGTCTCATGTGTGTATGTGTGTGCATGTTCATGTGTGCAGGTGTGTCCATGTGTATATGGGTGCATATGCCTGTGTGTGTATGTGTGTCTCTGTGTTTGTGTGTGTATATGCATGTGTATATGTGTATCTGTGTGTGTATCTGTGTGTGTCTGTGCATGTGTATGTGCGTGTGTGTGTATCTGTGTGTGTGTGTGTCTGTGTGTCTGTGTGTAAGATAGAGGGAAACATTGTATATCACTACTCAGGCACTGTCCACTCCGTTTTGACAGTGATTCTCACTGGCTTGGAGCTTGCCAAGTAGGTTAGGCTGGCTGGCCAGCAAGCCTCGGGCACTGGGATGCTCGGCTTTTTAATGTGGATTCTGGGGACTGAATTTGGATACTTGAGTTTGCTTGGTAAACACTTTACTGACTGAGAAGTCTCCGGGACCCCTAGTCTCTCAACTGCCTTGCCTTCTTTTGCCCTGAGTTCAATCTCGTGTCCTTGCCCAGCACATCCTCGAGCACGCGTGTCCACTGTTAAAGTCACCCGTTAAAGTCCGTGTGGACCAACTGACCTGGAAACAAACTGGGATGTAATTAAGGACTGCAGAGGCATGCAATAGGTATTATCTACATTTATGTAGTACACATGATGATCTTTATACAGTGACAGAACGTCTTAACAACACGGTTCTCAGAACTTATCCCCAGTGTTGCATGATACTCAGAAACCACTACAATGTGCTGGACGAAGCCTGCAGTTAAAAGACGAGTGTCTCAAGCTCAGTGGAGACCCTCTGTGCCTTGGAGTTTGCTCTGTGGCTACTTTGTCCTATGGTGTGGTGTAACAAAAATCAAATCCGAAGGATGGCTCAGCATCCTGATGGTTTCCCTCCTCGGTAGAAGCCCTGTGATGAAATCCCAAGTCCGCTGAGCACCAAGGGGCCAGGAAAGGCGATAAGCAGGGGAGTTAGGCTGCTCCGTGACGTGAAGTCTGGAGAAGGACTGGGTGCAAGGAGATGTGAAGTCAGATGGGCGTCACTTTGGGTTTTGAGGGCAGGTTTGTCCCCTTCAGTCTCTGAGGTCAAAACAAGTCTAGTCTCTGAGGCATGGTAATATGGCCGCCCCCAGCTGCAGCCCTTCAGCGGAGACTGGAGTGTGTCTGACATGCTCTCTGTCGGTGGGGATAGCTCTCTGAGCTGACCCTTGTTTATCAGCCCTGCTGACAAATACTGAGTCATCTCCTCTCTAAAGATGAATTTTGAAGTAGAAAAGAAATTGAAGACAAAGATACCTGTATCATGAGAAATCTCCAGTCTGTCTCCCCAACCCCAGTCCATCAAAGGCCCAGGGAGAGGTCAGCAGGGAGGAGCCGGGCATCACAGCGGTCACCAACCTTCCAGTCTTCACATTGCCAAGCAGCCTTGCTGGGTACTCTCCTGCCACAGTCCTGTCCATGAAGCATGTCCAGCACCCTCCAGTTCCTATAGAACCCAAGATCCAAGGTGGAACTGTACATCAAGCCCAGTCCTTGCCTAAGGAGTGGTAGGGAGGTGTGTGGGCTCAGGGTCCTTGAAGCAGCAGGGCCAGCTCTCCTACACCTGAAAACTGTGTGCTGAAGCTCTGGGTAGACTTAAGTCCCTGCCCTTCAGGCAGGAAAGAACCTGTTCCACTGACAGCCCAATGTAGGGGGAAGCTGAGTTCCCCTGCCATAGTTACTGTGAGCACTTCACTCTGAAAGCTCTCCCTCAGGGTGGCCACGTGAGATAGAGCAGTACTCGGGCACATAGTGAATTACCCTGAAGGAAGAGGCCACCAGCTAGGAGTGAAGACAGCCAACCCCAAGGCCAAGTTGGGGCATTCATTCCCATAGGAAGTGAAGCATGGTCTCTTTCCTCCTCACTTCCTGGCCCACCAGGCTGGCTACAGGTCGCTGAGGTCAGACCCCGCTGCAGTTGGAATTCTTCTCCTGTGGACACTCTGAGGCCAGACTCCCACACAGAGGACTACTGCCTGCCCAGGAGGAGGGAGGTTAACAGACCATATTCAAAGCAGGGGCTATTCTCAAGACCCTGATCTAGAGACACAGAGTCGGGTTCTTGGGAGACCCTTCTCCCGGTATCAGGGAGAGGCAGAGCTCTTACTGGGAGCCAGTAACCAGGTCTATGTTTATGAACAGGCCAAGGGAGAGTCTCATCTGCATTCTTCAACACGGCAGGTCCTGGCTGCCTCTACATGCCAGCCTCCCTTGTGGCCCTGTGACCAAAAGTGTAAAGGTGTAGGTGACAGATAGGTGGAAGTATCCCGTGGAATCTCCAGACGAATCCTCTGGGGTGCCTCGTTCTCTGCTGGGGACAGGGCTGAGCTCCAGTAGTCACTGTAGGACCATGAAGCTTGGATTCCAGGACTGAGAGCTGGGCCTCTTCCCTTAGACCACTCAGTCACAAACCTATCAGGGACGAATCTGTCAGTTAGCTCATGATCTAGTCACCTGTCAACAGTGTCACCAGCTGGGGAAGCAAGCCTTCAATACCCAAGTCCCTGGAGGATACTCTGGCTCCAAACCATAATAGTTGTTAGAATCCCGCTTGAACCCTGTTGCTTGAGTGTTGGTGCCTGCAGGCAAGCTTACTCTGACACTGGCTGAGGGGGGCTCTGGGATTTTTCTCTGGTGGTCGAAGTTCTCAGCCTCACCCTTCAGTGGCTCACTTAGTCCCGAGGTAGGAGTGGGGTGCTCAGAACAAAGAGGAAGATGGGCTAGAAGAGGACACAGTGGGCTAGAGAGGAGGCAGGTGGGCCTGTGTAAGCTGACCCTGCAGGCTGTGACTAGAGCCAGGATGGGGGACAAGGCAGCCCAAGAAGTAGGTGCCAGCCAAGCCAGGGCTAGACAGAGGGCTTGGGCCAGGCTGGCCAGTAGAGGGCCTGGGAGGGGCTGTGTGCCTCCCATAGCCCCATCCCCCCTGGCACCCCAGGTTCAAGGGTCCACAAAGTCTCCCCAGCTGGCCTGTAGATGGTCATTCTTTGCTCCATCTATATGTCCAGAACCACAAGGCATCAGAGTCTCCAGACAGCTGGCACCCAGGTCCTGTCCCAGCCTGGGACCTTGCAAGACAGGAACTCTGGTTCCTGTGACTAGCATCCCTGGTCACAACCTCTGCAGAGTCCCTGACTGCCCACCATGGGGCTAGGGAGGGTTGATACCCTATCTCTTACTTAGCTCACTCCACTCCTGGGATGCACCCAGGAGTGATTCTCTGCAGACAGACAGCCCCACCCCAAGGCTATAAAGGATCCACAGGACCCAGTGAGGGGACAGATCTGTAGCTGCTTAGAGCCACCCTAGGTAGCCCTCTTCTCCTCAGAGTGGCTTCCAGTGGCTAGGAGGAGGTCAGAGACCTGTGGTCGTTGGAGGTCCTAGGTAGGGGCTACTGGGCTCTGACCTGCCTGTCTGCCCAGGCATTTCTGAGAGTAAGAACCCTTTCTCAGAGGAGCAGAAAGGGGCCGGGGAGCAGCTCTTTCAAGGCTGTCCCTGGTGTCTCTGGCCCAGAATCTCATGCCTGTGCCTCCCCTGGGAGTTGTGAAGGGTCAAGCCTGAAGCTGAATTTCCCAGCTGCTGTGGTCACCTGAGCCACCCCGTGAGGTGGGGTGGGGGTCATCTCAGAGCTTTAGTGGAGGTGGAGTTCTGGCTTTCTTCTACGGGGACCCCTGGTGAGAGAGGATGGTGCTGGCCCTATGTGGGTGACTCTGCCTGACTGAGCTCCCATTTCCGTCTCCCACACTTCAGGCTCTCACTGTGGTTTCCAGGCCCCACCTCCCTGTAACACTGGGCTGTAGGTCACATAGAGCAGACAGCCACAAAGACTCATGTGACTTTTTTTTTTGGTCTTTTTGAGACAGGGTCTTCTTGTAGTCCCAGCTGGCCTGGCACTCGCTGTGTAGACCAGGCTGACCTCGGTCTCACAGAGATTCACCTGCCTCCGCCTCCCTAGTTCTGGTACTAAAGGTATGCACCACCGCACCCGGCTTCATGTGACCTTTTCCTCATGCTGAGGCTAGCCAGAGTCTCTGCAGGCCTCAGCCCAATGCAACCCTTAGAGAACAGTAGGACAGAGTCCACTGCTCTTGGGCCCAGTGGCCTGACCACGGAGCCCCTGGGTCCCCCAACACACAGCCGTCAACAGGCACCTAATGCCCTAGATGCCAAGTGGCATTCTGACTGGGAATGAGGCCAGTTCCTGCCCTTGAAGGGATGGACAGCTGGGGTGACCCTTTCGCTGTGCACAGGCCTTCCCTTCTCAGAAGACACTCAGGGCTGCTCCATCCTTGGGGACTTGGCCTGGCTCCTTGCAGAGTGACCACTCTGAGGGGACAAGGCAAGTTCTCCCTCCTAGTGAGCTGTAGACTCCCTGCTACAACCTGGACAGCAGCATGTGGGGTCCGGACTCAGCTCATGGCAGTCCTCTTGCCTCACTTATCTCCCAGCCAGCGGCCCATTGTGGGGCCCAAATGGGGGGCCAGCTGGCAAAGGGAAGCGGCTATTCGTGGCTAATAAGGAAGGACGAGACGGCAAAGCAGAAATGACACTTTCAGACCTGGTTTCAGTTGTGGTTGGAACAAGGAACTGAGATTCACACACTCAGGACACCCACCGTGAGCGAAACCAAGAGGACTCAGCGCATACAGACAGCACACAGTCCCAGGAAAGCCAGAGTGAGGTCCACAGGAGGCCACGAGTCAGCTGCCTAAGGGGCAGGTGGTGTTCTGACCCGTTCCATTCCTGGGGTATGACTGGCCTCTGAAGGTTTGAGTGTGTCTGAAGGGACCCCCCTGAAGAGGTGACACTGTGGAGCCGGGGTTGCTGGTGACACACGCCGTCCTGTACAGATGCTGACCTCTCTTCAGACAGCGATGGAGACCCCTGAGTGGTCCTGCTCCACGCCACCCCAGCGCCCACACAGCAGAGCTGCCATGGTAGGACTGGGAAGCCTGAGAGGGTTGGCTGGGGACCCAGCACTCCAGAAGCAAATTTCTACCCAATTCACAAATAGAACCATGTTTGAAATGTAAAAAGTTCTCAAAATGTTAGGTCCTAGGGCCTGAACAGAGAGCATAAAACCAGCTCTTGGGTGGGCAGAGCCAGGCCACAGTGCAGCTACCTGGTTGGCTGTAGACCTGGAGCCTGCCTCTTTGCCTTGCTTTGGCTACAGACCTCACCTATGTCTCCTTCCCTGGAGACAGCCTGTTGCTGAGGGCCACAGTACTGGAGAGGTCTGTAGAGATGACTGTAGACCATCTTCCCTACCTAGTGGGCCCAGGCCCTGTTCTGTGCACCCCTAGTCCCTCCCTAGGAGCATGGACGGTCTCTGTTACAATACAGGAAGGTCTGCCATGCACTGGGAAGACAGTGGTGATGTTTCCTCTCACAGGTGTTGGGGATACTGGCTATGCTGGGCCTTAGCTTTGTGTCTCTCACCTTCATCCTGTGGCAAGTGCCCCCTTCTTTCACTGGTCACCAGATGTGCCCTGAGGAAGTTCTGTCCAGGTCTTGGGAGCCCCTGGGTGGAGACATTGGGCAGCAGAGTGACTCCTGTCAGTGAGTAAGGGCAGGGACCTTGGGGGTCTTGGCTGGGTGCTGCTGCATTCCACAGTTGGGTTCCTGGGTGGGTGACACAGGTCACAGGGAGGCCTTTAGGATGGAGCCTGAATCCCACAACATGGCCCCTCTAGGCTGAGCAGACCCACCTCCTCAGGGTCCTCACTAGATGCCCTCTGAGTGTCATCATTCTCAGTCTTTGTGGGTCTGAAGCCATCCCTGCCCAATTTGGTTTAGCTGTGCCCCCCAAGTCTTTAGCTTGGGTCCAGGCCCCAGAGCCACACTGGTATCAGTCCCTCCAATTGGGCAGCAAGGACAGAGCAAGTAGCAAGCCAGTGGCTCCTACAGTCACACCTGGACTCTTTGGTTCTGTCTCTAGACTCATCCTTGTGGAAAGCATCCCTCAGGACCTGCCATTTGCAGCTGGCAGCCCTACTTCCCAGTCCCTGGCCCAGGCCTGGCTGCAGCTCCTGGACACTGCTCAGGAGAGTGTCCACGTCGCCTCCTACTACTGGTCCCTCACGGGGCCCGACATCGGGATCAATGATTCATCTTCCCAGCCGGTTGGTCCTTGGCCTTGCTTTCTCACTAGGAGGCACAGGCTGTCCCAGTTCCACCCAGCAAGGCAGGGCTCAGCTCTGGGCTGCGGCTGAGCAAGGCCAGCCGCACCCCCTTCCAGGGAGGCTCTTGGGGCAGCGGGTGGAGGGAAAGAACACTTAGCTGTGCCTGGTGTCATTTGGCTCCTAGTCCTGGGTCATCAAGACTTGGCCCACCCTGCGCTGTGGGCAGAAATAGGGTTCATGGGGCAAGAGGCAGAGGATCACCCTGGGGCAGCTGCTCATGCTGGCCTGGCCTTGTAGGGAGAGGCTCTTCTACAGAAGCTGCAGCAGCTGCTAGTCAGGAACATCTCCCTGGCGGTGGCCACCGACAGCCCAACACTGGCCAAGGAGTCCATTGACCTCCAGGTCCTGGCCGCTCATGGTAGGTATCTGTCTCCTAAGAGCTGTGTTGATATCCCCCTGCATATGGAGAAAGCTGGCCTTGTGAGACATTAGCAAGCTGAAACCTGGAGCACATGCCACATTTGTCACACCACCAGAGTGGGGAGGGACCACACAGAGGCTGGTTCTGACCCTGGGGCTCTGCTGCCCTGTGTGGTCAGCACCATGGGACAAGGACAAAAGCTAGAAGGGCTTCCAGGGTGGGTAGAAAGGGTTCTCTGGCAAACACTTTGGAGCTGGGCTTAGAGGGGTCCCGAGTCAGCCTGTGCCATGCCTCAGTTTCCTCCCCCGTAGGGGGCTCGAGCAGTAGGACTGTTCTGAGGATATATGAGTGAACTCAAATGCTGTTACACTACCCTGAAGCCCAACTAAAGGGCTAGCTTGTCCTATCTCAGGTGCCCAGGTGCGACAAGTGCCTATGAGGCGGCTCACTGGGGGCGTCCTGCACTCCAAATTCTGGGTTGTGGATGGGCGACATGTCTACATAGGCAGTGCCAACATGGACTGGCGATCCCTGACTCAGGTAAGTTTCAGAGCCGGGAGGCCCATGCACAGCTTCTCTGTCTCCTAAGGGCTGTATTGATGTCCCCCTGCATATGGAGAAAGCTGGCCTTGTGTGACATTAGCAAGCAGAAACCTGGACTGCATGCCACATTTGTCACACCACCAGAGTGGGGAGGGACCACACAGAGACTGGTTCCACCAGTTATGGGATTCTACACAACCCAGCACACAGGCCTGGAACATCATTTAAGAGCTTGGACAGGCACTCAGGCTGCAGCTCAGAGAGAAAAATCAGGAAAGTGCTTGCAATGCAAACGAGAACCTGAGCAACAGTCTGAGTTCATGTGAAAAGCTGGGCATGGTAGCACACACCTGTAGTCCCAGCGCTAGGAAGGTAGTGACGGATGGATTCTTGAGGCTCCATGACCAGCCCATCTAGCCTAATTAGCAAACCCAGGTCGCACTGAGATCCTGTCTCAACAAACAAGGTAGACGGCTCCTGAGGAACACCCAAGGTTGTCTTCTGGCCTCCACACATGCACATGTACACACACAAGCACACATGCATGCATGCACACACGGACACAAAGAAAACAGATGACAAAGCCTAAGCCTTTTTAGAAGTGACTCATTTCAAAGGCCTGGGATGCAGCTCCATGGAACAGGCTGATTAGCAGGCAAGTCCCTGAATTCAACTCACAGCACCACATAGACGTACAGTGGGCCAGATAACGACTATGAATGCAGCACCAGGAGTCTTGACTGAGATTAACGGTGGTTTTATTTCCATCTCTGCATTCTCATGCATCTCCTATTGCTTTGGATGTTGGAATAGTGTTAAGGAACACAGGGACCTTAGCACCCATCTCCCACCAGGTAATGCTGGTTACTGGCTGCCAGCTGGACAGAAATTGCACCCTGCATCCCTAGTGGCTTCCTCACAGCCCTCAGGGGAATCCATGGGATCCCCAGTTCCCCATGGCTGCTGACCCCTGGTCCCTACAGGTGAAGGAGCTTGGTGCTATCATCTACAACTGCAGCCGCCTGGCTCAGGACCTGGAGAAAGCTTTCCAGACCTACTGGGCGCTAGGGGCTCCCCGGGCTGTCGTCCCTAGAACCTGGCCTCAAAACTTCTCATCCCACATCAACCGCTTCCATCCCCTGCGAGGCCTCTTTGACGGGATGCCCACCGCTGCTTACCTCTCGGTAAGGTGG